CAAAAAAGAACCAAGCCGAAATGGATCCATAATAGTGAAATACTATGTTCGCAAAATGTGCCAGGAGGAGATGTAAAAGTACAATGTATTACCACAAGCTTAACTACGAAATGGTTATAAAATGTAATCACATCAAAGGATTAACTACGAAATGGTTATAAAATGTGATCACAGCAAAGGATAACAAATGCCGAAATCGGGAAAAGAGGGAATCTTCACTTCAACAAGGATACAGATAGCAAAAGCCACCTGAAGTCTCTATTAAGCCTGTAGTTCCCAAATAAGAAATGCACATATCAGACATGTTCACAAAAAACCAACATTCAGCAAGATCTCTATTTTTAAATAAACAAAATAGAAAGCATGGATCACAAATCGTGTTATTGAATCATGTTTGAGTTTCAATATCTAGTTCTTGTGTTACATATCTTATTTGATCGCAAATATGATAGTAAGTATAAATTTAACTAATTTTTATTTTTTATTTCACGTTTTCTTTTCATGTTTCAGATTGTGTTGTATCGTGTTTCATTGGGTCATTTGTCCCATTATCATGTTCATGTTTCGTGTTCGTGTTTCATGTCGACCATTGCAACCCCTAATTGAAATGTACCTTGTTGGCAATGTTGTTGGAAAGCCAGTCAAGACCCTCGTACAGCCCTTCACCCGAAGTGGCACATGTGCTCTGGATATACCTGCAATAATGCCAGACATATACCACTTGTTAGGTCTATCTTTTTCTCCAAATTTACAATCTTGGTAAGCACATATATGCATTAACCCCATCCCACCAAAAAAATAATAATAATAAGTAAAAATAAAAGGAGATAATGAAACATTCAAGAGAGAGAGAGAGAGAGAGAGAGAGAGAGAGACAGAGAACATACCAATGACGTTGACGGAGAGAGTGGAGTCCAAGCTTGTCAGTTATCTCAGCAGCATTCATAGCATTTGGAAGATCTTGTTTGTTTGCAAAAACTAGGAGTACAGCATCCCTCAGTTCATCCTACATGAATCAACAAAATCATTCTAAAAAAGTGAAAAAAGAGTAACCGGAGGAAACTCTACCATGGACCATTATCAACTCAAATATATGCATTTCTGCTAGTATGAAGTTCAAGAAATCGTGACAGACAAAAATGATAGGTCACTAGAGTTTTTAACAAGATGTATATGATCTCACGAATCCTTTAGGAAAAACAGAAGATGGGCATGTGGGCTGCGGCAGCACTAGACCACTTTTATTGGGGGATTTGCACAACAAAACACAAGCTCATGATACTATAATTTATCCTCAATCAAGAATACAGAGTACCAAAATATTGTGCTCACCTACAAATCAAAAGCCCTTAAAATCATTCTTTACATCTAAGAAAATTATGCACAACATTTTTTCATTGATTCAACATAATATTTAAAATGGTAAAAAAACAAAAATAATTAGAATTTCATTTTCTTTAACAAAATGTTTGAAAGAAATATGAATAATATTATTACATACAAAAAATTTCATCCAAAAAGTAGTATTTAATTCTTTTTTTATTTTTTTTATTTTTAGCTAAAACTAACTGAGATGTGTTATAATTATAAGAGCCCAAATCTAGAGCAGAAAAAAAATATAATAATAATAATAATAATAATTTGAGGCCTGCATAACAGCATAAGGTTAAAATTTTGAGATTTGAGACCCACTTATGAAGATGGTTATAAGAACTAGAAAATATATATTTTTTTCCCTTCAATATGGATGGGAAAATTGTCAAAGTGAGGACGAATTACCTCATTTAGCATCCTGTGCAGCTCATCCCTAGCCTCAACAACACGATCCCTATCATTACTATCAACTACAAAAATCAGCCCTTGAGTGTTTTGAAAGTAATGCCTCCACAATGGTCGGATCTACATCAGAATAAATCAGATTGATCAGAGTACCGAAGGAATCTAGGGAGTAAATACCCAACCTCTAACAGCTAGTGAAGCATTCTTCTCCAAAATATATCATAAGCCCTCGAGCCACATAACACAATTGTATAACAATTAAAGCTAATCTTTTACAATACAGAACTACAAAGATACTAAGTAAAAAATAATCTTATACCTTGTCTTGACCACCGACATCCCAGACAGTGAAGCTTATGTTCTTATATTCCACTGTCTCCACATTGAATCCTGGAGTAAATAACAATTAATTAACACAATTCAGTGTCCATAGGTGATCTGGTAAGGACCAAGCCAAAACATCATGGCTAACATCATTACAACACTTGAAAGTACAAATTAGAATTAGAAAGAACAACAGAGAACAAATCCACCCTAATACTGGGTCTTAAATTGTCCAATAAATCTCACTAAGACACCGTAAATCATTAGTCATCCAGCAACTACAAGTAGGTCTGTACTTGATTGTTGAATGCAATAATGTGTTCCTCCTTACATCCAAACATAAAAATTTTCACTGCTTAATGCTTAATCCAGGTTGTCATGTTTTCATCATAATATTAAATGTTGAACTAACAAGAAATGTCTACTAGCAGTATCTATATAAATGAAGATGTGCACAGTGAAACGAAAGAAGATGTACACAGTGAAACGAAAGATGACCATTGGTTATCATTTAAGTGCATATCACCAAAATTATCTATCAATCACGTACACACAAACACAAGTCACACAATTAATATGGAGGTGGATGTTAGTGTCATAAATACCCAGACGTACCAATTGTAGGAATGGTCGTCACTATCTCTCCCAACTTGAGCTTGTACAATATGGTGGTCTTACCAGCAGCATCAAGACCTACCATAAGGATTCGCATCTCCTTCTTCGCGAACAAGCGGCTGAAAAGCTTGGTGAAGGACAACCCCATTTTCTCTGTATGATAACCCAGAAAAATATCAAAATCCCAGCCTTCCAAGAAAAGCTGAAAATAATTCAAATTTTACAGTAATCCCAATTTTTCCAAGACAATGAGGTTGCAACACTCATGTACAAACATGATGACCGTGGGTGAGAAAACAGGGTGATGAAAAAAGAGATAAGAATGCGAAAAATTTAGCATCTGAAATTGTAAATCAGAAGGAGTGATATACTATTGTCGTAGATGGTGTTTCTGGCAAAAGACTCACCACAAAAACATTTTATGCTCTAATAGAGGGCAGAATAAAGGAGTATTTACTTTCTCACAAGAAAAAGGTTGCAAAATGCAGATATTTGTTTGAAATAAGCTCATGCCTTCGGCTCTTTATGAAACCAATATCAATTATGGCGCACACCACAATCAGATAAATAATCCGCAAAGATTTTATCAGGCCAGCTTTCGAAATTTTAAACAGCCATTTCGATCAAGGATTCAAAATCAAATGTTTAGCTATGAATCTTGATCAAACATCTATCAAATACAAAGAAATTACGCCTCCGAAAGAGAAGCCCTACAAAATACAGATCGATCAACTGCAGCGAATTCCGACAGACACAATCCTTCATAAAATAGCAAAAATTATAGAATCAAATAGACTATATCAATGGAAATTATATTCTTGATCGGGGAATCGGCAACTCATATTCATGAATAAATGAAATAATAAAATAAAGAATTACGGAATCACAAACCATGAAAAGGGGCGAAGAAAGCTTACATAGCGAAGGAACACAGAAGAAACGAAATTCGATTTGGGGAATAGAGAAGGGCAGATCTTGTTTTTAGAGAGCGGCCCTCTACGCAGCAAATAAATGAGGTTCTTTTATGCTTATGATCGGAAGACATGTGCATTATATAATGATGATATATTTTTTTTAATTGATTTAAGGAAAATTTGTATCTTTGTTCCAAATTGAGGTGATTTTGAGAAGGGATAATATGAGAATGATAGATAGTGAAAGAAATGAGAATAATTCTGGACTATTAGATTCATCATATCAATGGTCATGATGTAGTCAACCATTAAATATACTAGTCAAACATGGTGTGACAGTATTGTAAATATGTGTATAATTCATAGTCAAATATTGACATTTGACCACAAATTAAGGATAAATTAATCATTTGATATCAACCCATCAATATGTGGGGTCCACCACCACCCAACATTTAACCCTAACACTTAGGGCTGATATTTTTTAACCGAAAACTGAAAACCGAACCGAACCAAACCAAACCGACGAGAAAATAAACCGAACCGTACTGAACCGCTTGTAACGGTAACCGACTATTGGTTACCAAATCACTATCGGTACAGTATCAGTTTGAACCCATAAGAGTTCGGTAAAACCGATATCGAACGGATAAGGGTAAAAAAAAAAAGATTTTTTTTTTAAATATTAAAAAAATGATTAGTTGTTTAGTGTTCAAAAATTAAAATAAGGGCTCAATCCAACCTAAATCTCAAAATGACGAGAAAAATACCATTACTCATCGCCTCATTCACCTTCTAATCGGAACATTGTTGGTTTACAATCTCACTTCTTCTAAAGAAGATGCATGCTATCGTTACTGTAGTCTATTCTCGTACCACCGTTACTAGATAAGTTAGTTGAAGTTGTATCACAAATTTTATTTCTTGCATGTTAGGAATATATTGTTTTATTAGTTGCGTTTACCACAAAAACCATAATCTAATAATAGATAAACTAACTTCTATAAATTAAATTTAAGCTTTTTAATCCTTCAATGGATTTGTGAGTCTTTTGTGTGTATTTAATTGGTAAGAAGTGAAAAAAATTACAAAAATGACGAGAAAAGTAAACAATAGCAATTTTTTTGTGCTAAAAAACGATTCGGTTTTTTGGGGATAAAACCGATACCGAATCGAATCGGTTCGGTATCGATTTTGCATTCCGAGGTTACCGACATTATCGTTACGGTATTGGTATACACATACCACCCCTACTAACACCCACCCACACCCGTATCACCTACCCCATTCGTCACTTTCACCTACAAACACACACACACACACAAACACACACGCACACGTCGGACCACCAGAGCATTCGCCCGGCGCCGACTGCCGTCCGCCGACGAGCCGCCCCATCCTCCCCCTCTCTCTAGAAGTCCGGCGTTCACGGACTCACGACTACAGAAATTCGGCGGTCACGGCCCCATTCACCCGCCGCCACGCCCTCCCCCCCAGTCTCCCTCTCTATAGAAATCCGGCGGTCATGGCTACGCAGCCCCGCCGCAGCGCCTCCCTAGCCCGGCCCACGCGCATCCTCAGCCTGTATGACGCGCCCCCTATCCCAGTCGCCGTGCCTCCACAGTCTCGCTCCCATGTCGATGGCGATTAGCAGGTCATGAAGCTTCTTTGACGGCGATTAATAAATCCAGATCCATGACAGGAGGAAGCCGGTCACGGAAGTTTCGAAGATGCCGCCTATTCTAAATCCCACAGTAGATCTCATTCCCATTCACCAATTGTTATGCAGTGGCTTGAGTAAATTTGAGTATTAAGATTCTGTTGAAGGATGAGAGAGACAGGCCTCGATTTTAGAATTTGTGACTTAGAAATTAGGGGTTTGATTTTTGTAAATTAGACAAGTCTCAGGGACTTGTTTGCAATTTAAGATAACTTAATATATGTGTTAATATTCACCGCACCCACTTTTACTATTTACCGCACCCTCAAAATACTATTTTGTCCTTATTAAAAAATAATAATAAAAAATTCAATTTTTAATTTTTTTTTTTAAATTTGGCCAAAAAATATATTACCTTATAAATGTGGCCAATCTT